AAAAAAAAAAAAAACAGTTGTAAAGCGATATCGGTAACGGTGCACTCGATGTGAAAAGGAAATACACGATACAATAACAAGCCATACGAGCAATTTTAGTTTCCCTCCCTACCCTCATCCAGCGGTGACTGGACACGAAACATTGCGGTACATTCTTTTAACATTCGTCTTAACAAAAGTCTGAAACTACATTTTTTACAAATCTCCCCGCACTTACAAATTCATGCACTCGCAAAACTACATTTCACGTTGATTCGTGAGTTTCCTACGAAATCCCGGTGGTCTCTTCAAGTATCGAGCACGTGTGTATAATGTTCAATTACTATTTTCCATCCAATTCGCGAAGTTGGTAATTTCCTACGAGTCGATATACCGTTATCTAAATTTTCCCAATTGCACGTTATTAGGCATTGAAATGTATAAATACCTGATTATTTTTATTGTGTAATGTTCATCGATATGAAAAATTACAGGGATTAAATTTCACACGCTCGTCGGATAATGTAAAAAAATATTAGCACGTGCAACGAGTAATTACGGGACATAAAGAAAATCGCGGGTTGTCGTCTAACGGCTCCTCGCAGATCCATTCAGTGAACCGCAATTCCTTCATCGCTTATTGTACATCGTCCACGTCCAGAGCTTATACCGTAATTTGTATAATAAATTGACGACAATTACGAATGTCAGAATGTACGTACGTTATTACCATGTCGTGTGCTTCGTGCTTCTAAAAATAAATCAAACGTGAGAACAATTTTTTAAATTATCTTTCAATATATTAGTTGCCTCTCAGAAATCATTACTATATAATTATTTACTTGGTACTGCCAAAAAAAAAAAAAAAAAAAAAAAGAAAACAACTAAGGGACAGCGAGAATATACGATTCTCTTAACTAATTACGAAATGAAACAATTGTAAGTAATAAGTAGAACAAAAGAAAACCAACGGTTTCTGGTTTTCAATTATTTAATTTCTATCTATTTTCATGTCATCCTATAATCTGCGTCCAGAAAAAAACAAAAGTCTTGGAATGGCAATTGCACTTGATCTTGTCGTGTGTTTCCTCTGGACTGGTTTACTGTACTGTTCCCATTTTTCTTACGAATCACGTAATAATCACTCGTATTGTCCAACTTCTTTTACGAAACACGAGCAAACTGTTAAGAATACGAAATGAAACGATGAGATGACATCGTCAGCCACGCATCGAAATCTTCAGTGTGTTATGCATTCGAAAACTTTATCATGCCATTATTCGTCAAATACCGCAGATACTTATATGGTTTGGAATAATTCCGTTATATCCTATCTATCGCGTGTCTGCAGAATTATCAATCTTAAGGAAACAAAGTGATTTGTAACGGTATAATAAGAATGAATTTCAAATATTCTTACAAATATTCTTCACTGATAAAATCTTTCTTTGCAATTATTATATTTTGCAATTGGACAACTATCCTTGTCCCAACGATCCAGTTTATTAATTCAAAAGAATTGTTTGATCATTTAAAAAAGATTTCCTATTAACTTTTATTTATTACATTTTTTGAATATTAAAAAGAAATAAGTAGAAGATGGTGTAAATTATTAATTGTAATTAATTGTTATTAAATTTCTTTCGTTGTAAGAACCGTGTCATTAATCGTAGAATTGATCGTAATCCAAAATACTATAACTGAAAATTCACAAGAAGAAAAATCTTGAACCGGATGTACGGCAAGTTTGTACATCTCTTAATGAATGTTGTGCGTACAACCAAGAATTCCAAGAATACCTGGTGGGGAACGAGTTGGTTGAAGATACTCATGCAGTCCATCCCTGTTAGTGCAATTTCGAACATACTGACCGCGAGTGTTGGCTATGCAC